GAAACGCAGCTTTAAGTGGTAACTGCACGTCACAGCGCCAGGACGCAAAGGCCAGCACGTGCACACAAGCACCAGGACCCGAGCCCTCTGCCCTTTCTCCCACATGGTCCAGGAACACCCTGTCAGGCACTCGGCTAAGAGATAAGCAGGTACCAGCACAAGCCAGATGGGCCCTGCCCCGGAAGTTTGCATTTCACTGCGGGCGATGGACAGGGAAGATGATTCTCTGGGGAGACAATGTGTGTTTCCTGAGATGAGGAAAGACTCCGCCCTGTGTGAGAAGAACAGAGAACACAAGACTGGTCTGCCAGGGGAACCCAGGAAGGCTGACTGGAGGAGGTGCTCACGAACTGGTCTCTGTGCCAACTAGGATTTCCATCAGCTACAAGTACCAGCAATGAACCTCAGCGGCTCAACCAATAGGGGTTTATCTTTCTCACAAAACAAGGAGCCGGGACGGAGGCCGCCCAGGGCTGGGACAGCCCGTTGAGTGGTGGCCACGGACAGGCTCCTTGTCCCTTCCTGCTCCACCATCTTTAGAGTGTGGCATTTGTTCTTACGGTTGCAAAAACGGCGGCTCCAGCTCTAGGCTTTAGGTTTGCAGTCCAGGAAGGAAGACAGGGAGAGTGAAGGTCAGAAGCAAAAGGCCAGCGGAGGCAGGAAGAACGAACGCCATGAGAAGTCGTTTCCAAGTCGTCCTTACAGAATCCAAGAGGAGGGCCCAGCTCCCTCTGTCGCCCAGTGCTGGCTTTGCCTGATGTTCTGCTCCCCAGGGCCGGGGGTCCGCATGGACCCTGGGGGGTCAGTTCTAAACAGGTCACAGTTAGCCTTGTTCAGAGCCCCAAGTCAGCCTCCACTCAGCATGGCGTTGCTTGCGGCCCCTGCCTGCCCTCAAATCCTTCGCAGTCCAGCGGGGAGGCTGACGGCACGTGCCAGCATGTGCAGCTAGCCGAACGAGCTGTGAAGTGAGGGTCGCTAAGAGGGGGCATCCAACCCAGCCTTGAGCTCAGAGCAGACTTCCCGGCCCGGCAATGATGTCTACACGGCGGGAAGGAGACCCAGGCCCTGCACCCCCGAGCCCCCCACCCCTGGCTCGGGACACGGGCACTTAGAGCCTCGTGTTGTCACTTCTGCTTCCAGCTGTGATGGAGAAGCTCAGATCAAAAGAAACCCCCGCTCCGGCCCCTGCAGAAAACAACTATGAAACATTCCAGCTTTGGGCTGGAAAAAATACAAAATAAAAATGATCTAAGAGCTTGTAGAGGAACCAAGCCCACGTGGGACCAAGGGGCCGGGACCCTAGAAAGGGAGGAACACACTGCGGTCAGCAGGGCCTCGTCCCTGTCCTCCTCAGGGCACAAGCTAAGTCAGAGTGTGAGACTCCCGGGCTGGACATTCAGCACTGGTAGCGTTTACAGCCACGTAAGGATTGGGGCTCATGGCTAGCAGGGCAGCCGGGGACGAACAACTGTGAGAGAAGGAAGCCAGCGAACAGGGAGCCTGACATGCCGGGCAGTGTTGCCCTCAAGGTGCTTGTGAGCTGCTCAGAGGTGAGAGGCCAAGAGACCAAGAAAAAAGTGGCTGCTGAGAGGTTAGGATGATAAGCTGAGCTCATGGCAGTCCCAAGGGCCTGAAGGAAAAGAAAATTGCAGTTCAGAGTCATCCACGGAAGACGGGCCTTAGTAAACACCCCCTGATTTCTGCTGAGACCCCTGCAGGCTAGGCTGTAGATTCTGGCAAGTCGGAAAGAGACCAGTCCTCACAGGGCCTGAATCCGGTCTCATTTTCTCTCGAGTCCTCGTTGATCCCAAGCGATTTTGCCCGACTCTCATTGCCAGCCAGAGGAAAAGCAAGCCCTCTCTGGAGTAAAGAAGAATCCTCCAGAGGCTGTATGATTTTTCAAACACAAAGTCTGCCGTTTAATAAAAGAATGATTATCATCAAATAGAGCCAAGAAAGAAAGAAAGAAAGAAAGAAAGAAAGAAAGAAAGAAAGAAAGAAAGAAAGAAAGAAAGAAAGAAAGCCCAGACAATAGAAACAAACCCAAAAGTGATGCAAATATTGGATTTGAAATGTGATTATGAGGTCTGACATAAAGATATCAAGATGGAGAATTTCAGGGCCGGCCGAGTGGCGTGATGGTTAAGAGCTGGCTTGGGACGCCAGAGAGCCCCGGTTCGGATCCCACATATGAGGGCCAGTGACACTGCCCTCTACAGCTAAGATGCTGAACAACAGCTCCACCTGGAGCTGGGCTGCCGTAAGTTGCTGGCGACAGCTTAGGCTGCAGCCCCTGCAGATGTGGGTTGCCGTGGACTACCATGTGTGGCCGGTGGCCACGGTGGGTGGCCGTCCAGAGGCCAGCGACTGATCTGCCTCGCCCGGGAAGAGCGCAGTGATGGTGCCAACTTGGGCCAGTGAAGCAACGTCCTCCACAACTAGACTGAAGAACAAAATGACAGCAACTTGTCTGTTCCCCTTCCCCCAATTCCCCAGCGCTGTTCCCATTCCCCAATTCCCCAATAAAAAAAAATCTTTAAAAAAAAGATGGAGAATTTCAGAAAACTAGAACTTAAAAAAAGAACAAAGAGGAAATTATAGAACTAATAAAAATAATAACTACAACTAACAACTCAATTGGTGGGTTCACAGCAGATTAGATAGAGCAGAAAAGAGGGTTCGTGAACTAGAAGTTAGGTTTGTAGGAAATGCTCAGCTGAAGCTTGGGAAGGAAAGAGCGGATGAAAGACGCAGAAAAGCACGTCAGAGCAATACGAGTCACTGGGAAATGGTTACCCACGCGACGTTACAGTCCCAGACAGAAAGCAGAGGACAAAGCAGAAGTGATGGGAGAAGAAACAATGGCTGAGCATTTCCAAGTTGACAAGAGACGTCAAGCCACGGATTCAAGAAGCTCCAAGAACCCCAATCAAGGAGAATAAAAAGACCCCCGCTCCCCGCGCCCCACCTGAGTACATCATGGCCAAACTAGTGAAAAATAAAAGTCAAGGGGAAAACCTTAAAATTAGCCAGTGGGAAGACACACTTACTTTAAAGGGAACAAGAATAGAGCTAAGAAATTATGTCTCAAAAGAAACGATAAAAGCCAGGGACCATCTTCAAAATGCTGAAAGAAAATTATTGACAGTGCAGAGGTCTACACTCCTTGGCTAAAAGACACATCAGAAATGAATACGAAATAAAGATGTTTTCAGGTCAACAAGCGCTGTGAGGATGTCTCACCAGCTGACCCGTGCTAGAAGAAACCCTGCAAGTTCATCAGGCAGAAGCAAAATTATCCCAGATGAAGGGAGTCAAGTGGGAATGAAGTGTGTCTGTCACACAAACTAAATAAGCAGATACAGCTCAATAAATATTGACTGTTTGAGGATATCTTATAAGATTTAAAACACAGGCACAATAAAAATAATTAACAAAAAATGTTATCAAGGAGTACTTATCATACGTGGCTGGAACCGAAAGTCTTATCTGAAACTCGGGCAAAACACGAACCTCACAGATTACCAATGTGCCTACTGCCACCTAGTGGCGAATATAATAATTGCAGGGAAAGTGTAGGAGAACTGTTTCACCAAGTGTAGTCTTCAAAAACCTGAAGTTATAAAGTGACAGTAAACATGGCAACCCAGCATCAAGTTGTTCAATAAACATTTGCTGAATGAATAGATCATTGCCAAACTGCTCTGTCAGCCGCTTTACTTCACAATCTTCATGATTCCTTTTTTTCCCTTTAGTTTAAGAGTAAAATTGCTTTCCTTTGCCTTTAGACATTTAAAAAATTACCCCCAAAAGTGTAAAAATAAGAAATATCAATCATCCACGGTCTCAGTACTCAGTTTCCAGAATTAATTCTGGTTAACAATCTTAATAGATTTTCCTCCCGCGTTTAAAAAGAAACAGCTCTCGCCTGTTTTATAGAATGGGCGTAGTGCAAGGTATTGTTTGCAGAAAGTATTCAGCCACCAAAAGGGTTGAAAGCCGCTGCTCAAGGTCAGCCCTCAGGCCCTGGCAGCTTGCCCGTCCCGGCTTTGAGGGAGTAGAGACCTTTCTGCCTGAACACACGCAGCTCATTAAGAAGTCAAAGCACACACCTGTGATCATGGTGTAATTACCTGACGTCCTAATTGGCTGCAGACACGGGCCTGCGGGTGTGGGAGCTACTGCGTGAGCTGGCTCCAGGTCAGCTGAGGCAGGAGGTGCTGGAGCCCGGGCACACATGGAGTTTTGCTCGGGCCGCAGCTCCCTGCCAGGTCCTGTGCCCAGGTCCTCAGGCTCCAGCAATCCCCAGTCCTATGAGAGGTGTTGCCCTTCTGCCCTCCCTTCCTACCTTCCTTCCTACCTTCCTACCTTCCTTTCTTCCCTGTGCCACGCGCTGGGGACACAAAGGTAAAAAGGCAAAGCTTGTATCCCCAAGTCACAGCCCTGTGATAGCATCAACAAGAAAATGGCTGTGATGGAGGTGGGTGCAGCATGCAGGGGGCACCCCGAGAGATTCAGGGAAGGTTTCCCAGTGGACTTAAAGCCAGAGCTGGGACCTGAAGGGTGAGGAAGGGCATTCCAGGTGGAGGCAACTGCATGTGCAAAGGCACAGAGGCATGAAAGAACAGGCCTGGGCTTGGAACTGCCCACAGCTCTTCATTGTAAGGGGAGAATGGGGAGAGCCGGGTCCAGGAAGGGGCTGAGCGGGGCTGGGGTCGCCTGACTCATTTCTGGGACCCTCTGCCTCCTTGACCTCCTTTGCAACTCAGCTGCTTCGGGAGGAAGTGGCCCTGGCCTGAGCTGCACAAAAGGAGGCTTTGACATTGGAGAAAGGGAGTGAGGGAGGGCGAGCTGGAGTGTATTTTTGGATGGCTCAGGAATCTGCTCCACCTCCTCCTCCAGCACCATGGCAACCAGGCGGCAGCTGGGGGAGCCGCCTGCAAGCTGGGGAGCCGCTGAGCAGGCCAAGTGGAGAGGGGAGGTGGGCTGAGGGTGGGGACCGCTTGCTCAGGGAGAGGAAGAGGGCAGCTCTGTGGCCCTGGGCAAGCCGCTCCCCCTCTCTGAGCCTGTTTGGGCATCTGGAATATGAGGGTAGGAGCGGCCACTCTGTTCCTGTCAGCCCAGGTCCTCCAGGAAGCAGATGCCCAGAGGGCAGGCCTGTGAGGTGAAGGAGGGGCTGGGGAGCGTCCTGCGACACCCTGCAGCCCAGGGCGTGTGCATGGCCATTGGAGAGCCATGCGGCCCATCAGAGGTGGCTTACGCCTTTCACGAACCAGCCTGCCTGGTGTCCGCACTGCACTGAGCCACTGCCCAGAGGCACCTGGGGGAGACGGCCGAGGCATGGACGCAGGTGTGGACTGCAGAGTGGTCAGTGGGTCCCCGGGCAGCCACCTGCACTCAGAGGTCTGAGTGGGTGTGTCATGGCTGCCCTACTGCACAAACCGGCCTCCCCTGCCAAAGCAGGGAGCTTAGCTGTTTCCAGAACCAGTCACAGCAGCCGAGGGGATGGACGGGGAAGGAGGCGGGAGAGCCCTGGGTCTGCTTCTTGGGGCTGCTGTACCCAGTGGTTGGACTGGCTGAAAACAACAGGACTGCATTGTCCTGCAGTCCTGGAGGCCAGAACCTGAAACCAGGGGTGGGCAGGGCTGTGTTCCTCTGAGGGGTTAGGGGAGGGTCCTTCCTGCCTCCTCCAGCTCCTGGGGTGTCCTGGGGTTCCTTGGCTTGTGGCCGCAGCCATCCAATCTCTGCCCGTCTTCACATGGCCTCTCCTCTGGGTCCCCCCGGGTCCCTGCTCTTCTTACAAGGACACCAGTCACTGGATTACAGCCCACTCTTCACCAGGATGACCTCATCTTAACTCGTTCCATCTGCAAAGATCCTATTTCCAAATAAGGTCGCATTCTGAGGAGCCAGGTGATCATGAATTTGGGGGGACACACTTCAACCCACCACAAGCCCTGTTTGGACAGCCTGGGTGAGTTAAGCGAGGGTCCTGGGAGGGGCACTCAGGTGGCAATCGGGGGTCCCAGAGGGCGGGCTGGGGTTTGTGGCTTCCGGTATGTGTGTGTGGGGTGGGGTGGGGGGGGCAGGAACAGGCAGAAGGAAGTGGGACTGAGCCAGGAGACCAGCGTCCCGTTCCCCACCCCCACCGCCACACAAACCTGCACCCTCGCACCCACGGGGGACAGCGTCTTGCCTCCATCTTGCCTGCCGTGGCCCAAGGTCTGGGTCCTTCCGTGCCTGAAGCCTCTTCCCAGGACCCGGTGACTGCATGAGGTCCTGCCCAGGGACCCTGGGTCCCAGAATGTGGGCTTCCCTCATCTTGGAGCCTCCGTGGCCTCATCGGTGAAATGGGTAACGCAGACACAAGGCTGGGAAGGGGTTGGCGTCTCAGCAGGGGGGATCTGGGGTGCATGGCTCCAGCGCTGGGACCATAGCCCTGTCCCCAGGCCTCAGACCAGGAGCAGATTAGGTGGGACGGGCTCTCTCTGCCCCATGAGGAGCATGTGGCCTAGAGAGGCAGGGGTGGGGTCCCCAGCTTCTGGGGCTGAGCGGGCAGCACCTTGGGCAAATCCCCGCCCTGGGGTCCCGGGCCCCTCGGGAGGTCAGCGTCTTGGTCTCTGCTGGCTCAGCACCGCCATGCATCCCTGCACATGCACATGCTCACCCACACATAAGGACACCCTCTCACACTCACTCCTTACACTCTTACACACTCACACCCACACATGCTCACAGCCTCACACAGCCCCCCCCCCCACACTCACTCTGGACTCTTCTTGGGGCCATTTGTGCCAGACACCCCACCCCCACCCCCAGGCAGCCAGCGATGAAACAGCCCCTTTCTGGGTGCGGAAACGGCCCTCCCCCA